ATCCTCATGGCTCCTACTTATTAATTCTCATGGCTTTTGCTTATAAACAGAAAAGGGGGAGATGTCGGAGACCACGCTGCCCCCCAGGGCAAGCATCCTCTGGAGAACTTGCTGATCAATCCTCCCTGCCCCCTAAGATAAGCAACCCTTCCGATGAGTTAAGATAAATTTGAACAACCACCAATTTCCTTAGCCTGCAACCAGACCATGGCGCCAGGTCCCCTCATTCTAGGGACATTCATTAGCCTGTTGAGACAACACCTTCCCTCCCTCTTCCCCAGCTAACTTCCCGCTTCAGCCCGTATAAGAATCCCCATGGAAAAATAAACTTTGGCAGCTCGATCAGAGTTCTTTGTGTCTCTTGTCCCATCATTCCAGGTCCCTGGGAGTTCGAGTCTCCGTCTCCCGCCCTGCTGGCCGGGGCAGTCAAGCATGGCAAGGAAGTCACCAGACAAGCTTACAGAGGTAATGGCTCGAATCTGTGGTCCCGCTCAACTGCCAGTGCTTTGCCAGGCCCAGAGGACAGCCCCACAAGCCCTTAGGGACCCCAATTCTTCCTCAGGCCACCTGACCACCCATGCCTCCACTCTGCTGTCCCCACATCCTCTTCCTGTCCCCATCCCACCCAGAACCTTCTAGAACCTGCTGGCTTCTCACCCTACTCTGCCAACACCTGGCCCCACTACAAGGCTCCTTGATCTGTAGCTCCTGCAGGGACCTGGGTAGTATGCCTGAGCTAGCTCTACACCCCCCACCCCCCATGCACACATGACTTCTGACCAGAGCCGTGCTCTGTGTTTGAGGATGAGCCTGCCCTTAAGGCCAGTGTGTGCTGCAGTTCTTTCTGCCCGTGTCATTGAACAAGCAGTTCCCATGCCCTCGGAACCTTCAGGAGTCAGCTCACCCCTTGCCTCTCCATGCCCAGCAGCCACAGGCTCTCCTCCCCTACTGCGCTGTCCTGGTAGGGCTTCACCCCTCAGGCCCGTCCCCACCTGCCTCTTGAGCTACCAGCACTGAAGCATATTCAGTATGTGAACTGCATCTCTAAGATTTCATTTCTTTCTTTGAGTCCCTGAGAATGCCCCCACACCTGCCCAGTGTTCGTTCAGACTTTTGAATCAATACTCATGAATGTTGGTGGCCACATACAGGGAGCAGGACTGCAACATTTAAAACACAAACGCTTATGTCCATTTGTTCTAATTCAGGAGCTTTAAAGTCGTGAAGATGCCGCTAGGATGTGGGGAGTTCAGACTGACTTTCAGGACAGGGCAGGAACGCCTGTTTTTCCTCTGCACTTAGAACCAGGCGTGCAACAGCACTTGCTCCTGAGTGATGTGTGGACTGTTGGAGTTCTTTCAAATGAGGTCATGGCAGACATCTATCAATGCAATTGACAGTCTCTGTCCAACCATGAAAGGAGCCCACCAGAGCCAAGCACTCTCAGTACCCAGCCAAGCGCTCACTACCCAGCCAAGCACTCAGTACCCAGCCAAGCGCTCACTACCCAGCCAAGCACTCAGTACCCAGCCAAGCGCTCACTACCCAGCCAAGCACTCAGTACCCAGCCAAGCGCTCACTACCCAGCCAAGCACTCAGTACCCAGCCAAGTGTCCTCCATCTTGGGTTCAGCATGATGCTCAGACTCCCTGCTGATGACGCTCTTCCAGCTGCTCTGTGTATGACGCGAACCCACTCACCCACTCACTCAGCAAGGCTTTGTTGGACACTTGGGTCTTGTTGAGCATTGAACTTGCTGCTTCAGTGCAAACATGCCTTGGCCTCTCTGAGCCTGGCCTGAGTTGTTTCTAGGGTGATCCCTATCCCCAGCCCCGAGTCCTCACCAAGGGCAGGGCATCTCAACTCTAGTCCTGGTGACTATATGGATTCCAGGTACCACATACATCCCTACGTCACCCCTCAAGGAGATGAATCGACTACCTTGTGATGAAAACTGAGACTTACTGTGTGGTGTGGTGATGTGGAGAGTCAGTGATGGGCCTGCCCAGCTGCCAGGTGCACCTGCTTGGACTATCTGGCCGGATCCATAGACGCTCCTTGTCCCCCGAAGGCCCCCTCTCCAGGTGCCCTTTCCCTGAGTGCACCCCCAAGAGATGGGGGCAGCCTGCAGAGCCGTCTTCAGACTGGGGTGTCTCAGAAGGCATGCCGGGACCTGCAGTGGGGGCAGAGATGCGCTGGTTCAGGAGAAGCTGGTGGGAGGAAATGCACAGGCTCCAGCTGCTGTGGAAAACAGTTTGGCTCTTTCTCAGAAGTTAAACATAGAACTACCATATGACCTAGCAATTCGACTCCTAGGCGTAGATCCAAAAAATGGAAATAGATATTTGCATGTCCATGTTCATAGCTGTACCATGCCTAAGAGCCAAAAGGTAGATATCACCCAAGAGGCCACCGCTGAATGGGCACACAAATGTGGTCCAGCCAACCAGAGAAATACTATTCAGCCATACAAATGAATGGATGGAGGGGCAGAGAGATAGCTCAGGAGTTAAGAGCTCTTGTCGTACAATCATGAGGACTGGATGATCCCAGCATCCACACAAGCAGCCGAGTGTTGCATGCACAGATGCACATACCCCACACACACATGCACATATACACAGAGACATATACACACAAAAGACCTTTTAAAAAAGGGAATGGATGAACTCTGAAGACACAATGTTAAACGAAAGAAGCTGATTTGTTATTTGAAGCAGGGTCTCACTACGTAGCCACAGCTGGCCTGGAACTCACTGTGTAGACCATCCCAGGCTGGCCTTGATCTCACAGTGATTCGCTTGCTTCTGCCTCCTGTGTGCTGGGATTAAAGGCCTGTGCCACCACACCCAGCTAGAAATCAGTGATAAAACAGACGGCTACTGTGGGATTCCACTTACATGAGGTACCCAGAATAACCAGATGCCCATCTGTGGTCTGGCATGTCTGAGGGCCCTAGAATAAGTAAATCAACAGAGAGAGACGGCAGCACAGAGGGCACCAGAGACAAGGGGGTCGGGAGAGTAACTGTTTAATGGCACAGGGGCTTTGGGGGAATGACGGAAAATGTGGGTGGTGTCCTAATTTCGTTTCTGTTGCTGTGATGAACATCCTGAAAAAAGCGACACAGAGGAGGAAAATCATTGTGTTTAAAATTCCAAATTACTGTCCACCACTGGGGGAGTCAGGCAGGAACTCAAGCAGTTGGTCACACCACATCCACAGGCAAGGGCAGAGAGAGGAATGCAGGCATGCTTCGGACCTCCTCTCTCATAGTTCCCACCAGCCTCATAGAGCTCAGGGATCAATGACGGAGGCAATCCCCACAGACATGCCCCCAGGCCAACCTGATGAGATAATTCCTCAACTGAGACTCCCTTCCCTTCTCGGTGAAGTCTACGTTGTGGCACGCTGACACTTAAAACTATCCAGTACAGGTGTAGACAGTGAGGACAGCTGCACAGCACTGAAGTGTTTACCACCACTGACTCCTACACTGACAGAGGGATAAATGGTAATACAGTCTGCTCTCCGTAGCTTCTGTTTCTGCTTCTCAGATTAAACTGCAGATTTACATTATTCAGAAGGTTGGGTATATAACTCAGTATGTAATATGGCTAGCATGGCCCTGGTTCTATCCTTATCACCATAGAAATACAACAGTATTTTTTATTTTATTTTATTATTTTTATTTTATGTGTATGTATGTATTGCCTGCATGTAGGTAAGTGTACCCGTGTCATGCAATGCCTGTGGAGGACAGAAGAGGCTGTTGGATCCCCTGGAACTGAAGTTACAGACAGTCCTTAGCTGCCATGTGGGTGCTGGGATTCAAACCCAGGTCTTCTGCAAGAACAACCAGTGTTCTTAACTGCTGAGCCATCAGCCCCCAAACAGTATTTTTTTAAAAAACTGGGAAGGGTGCTGGGGAGGTGGCTCACTTAAGATCACTGACTGCTCTTGCAGAAGGCCCGGGTTCAATTCCTAGCACCCACATGGAACCACCCATAACTCCAGTTCCAGGGGATCCAACGTGGTCTACTGACATCCAGGGCACTGCACGATAGTCCAGAAGAGGGCTTCAGATTTCCCTGAAACTGGAGTGAAGGACGGTTTGTAGCCGCCATGTGGGTGCTGGGAATTGAACCTGGGTCCTCTGTAAGAGCAGTCAGTGCTCTTAGCCGCTGAGCCATCTCTCCAGCCCCAAAAAAAAATTAAAAAAAAAAAAAAAAAAAAACAGGGAAAAACGTACTGTACCTGTACTGAACAGGTAGAGACTTTTCCTTGTCAATGTAACAGTTATTTGTATAACACACCCCCCTGGTAGTCTAAGCAATCTACATGTGGGTCATGTAAGTGAGTGTCCTGATGAACTGTCTCTGAGGACAGAAAGGAAAGACTATTATTTTATTATGGATGTTTATTCCACAGTTTACAGAACGACAAATCTGGACATGGTAGAACCCTGTAACACCAGCACTCGGGAAGTGGAAGCAGGAGGATCAGACATTCAAAGTCAGCCTTGGTTATACAGTGAGTTCAAGACCAGGCCGAGTTACCCAAGATCCTATCTCAAGGCACCCACTACACACTCGCCACAAAACCTCACAAAAAAACCCTTCCCGTCAAAACACAGCAGATAAAAGCTGACCTTCCCAGCGCAGGTGGACACTGGACACCCCACATGTATGCTGGGCATCAAGTCTGACCCGGAAGCCATAGAGAGCTGGGCCCAGGAGACCCAAGCGAGCTAGTGCCTGGCTCTCTATGAGCTGAAACACTACCCAAAGTAGATGCAACAGGAGTCCGCCTGTGATGCCAACACCAGCCAGGCAAGAGGTTCTGGCATTCAAGCTAGCCTGGGTTGCACAGACTTTGTCAGGAATGGAAAGGGAGGAGGAGGGGGGGAGGAGGGGGAG